AGTTAACTCTATGGAAGAGCAAAATTTTTACGAGTATGATTAAGTAGTAGCACTGTGTTCAACGTTGAACGGTTAAATTTATAAATTGGTTCTAGTGCTTGTTTGCCCATGGATAGCAGATACCCTATTGCCTAAAATATACCACTTTTGCTGTTTTAAGTTTTCTAGAAATAGATTCTTAAATAATCTGAGGATAGCGATTATAAGGCTTGATTTTCTCGAGGGCTTATCCTTTCTTATATAGCAACCCTTCTCTATTTTTCAAACCAGAGTCAACTTTCCGAGCAGTACTAAGGATTTGTGGCTTATACTTAACATGTTTGACTTTACCAACAATGGTCCGTGGTCGAAAACTCACTATGAGTGCTGATAATAATGCAATAGTTAATTCATGTATCTGCCTGTATTCACAACTAATTACAAATCTGTTCCCTACGGAAATCAAAATGGAAAAAATACTTTTCCCCTAGTTTTGTGGCAGAATCCGACAATGCCATTTATGTGACATAAACAGCTTCAGTGTATGCTCATCATGGTCAAACGACAGTTTAGTAAGAACTGACAGGCCCAATAGGCAGGTCAAGTCAAGCGCGTGTGTCGCATTTTCCGGTGGGGATGGCCTCTTATGCCACACTAAATTTGTAAGCATACAAATTGGGAAAATTAGCAGAGCTATGAGTCGTCCAAACGGTCACCTTTCCTCGGAATTTCACCACCGTGTTCATCGTTGTTCCCTTTTAAATTAAGAGGCCTGATTTTGACGTTAAAAACTTATACTACTGCTCTTTCTATCAGTATACTGCAAGCGGTGAGCTCACTTTTTTTTATTAGCCTTTGCCTGTCCAGGAAATTATGAATCTTTCCTAATACAAAATAACAAAATGGAAGAAAAACCATTTTCCTATACTAACATAAATTGCCTTTTTTTGTAAGCCCACAAACAAAAAGCAGCCGATTCGCATGCTTAATCCTGATATTTTTCTTCTAATTAGCCGCATACAGTACGTTACATCTGCTATTAATAATAATGTTATTATTTATTTTTAAATTTCAGACACAGTCGAGTGCATTCCTTCAAGTCACTGACTCGGCACCATAGATCCCGCCATCCTCATGCCACCTTACCTGGGCAAGAACTATCTCCAAGCGCCCAAAAGTGTCCGGCGCCTGGAGCGCAGCCCGAACGCGTTGGTAGTCAAAACGAATTATTGGTTCCCTTCTCTTCTCAGGATTATGGCTACTACGCAACTGCTGCCCCAGCAGTCTATAATTGTTCTCGTCATCTCAAGACAGGTTACTCTCAAGTTTGCTTTGATGGATTGTATATAACTGTTTGCGGATGTTCATTCCATGAAACATTCTTTTAGTTGTGCATTTCCAGACAAACTTTTTAGGGCAAATTTTATAATCTATAAAGAGATTTGTTTAGAAGCATTTCGATTCTGACTATCAAGAATAAGATTTCTTATAATTTGTATCACTTTTCGTGTAACGAATTTTTCAATGACAGGTGAACTAACCATAATCACTCCTGATGAGTTCTGAGCATTCTCTCAAATTGGGTTCAAGTGGATGATTACTTGGGTGGTGAAGGGCATCAAAGCTAGTACATTTTATCAGTCCAGGGTGTTTGCGAGGTCTGAACAAGGACAAAAATGCTTATTCAGTGGGTATACGACAATAAACTTAAATGGAAAATCAAATTCTCTATCAAATAAATCTGGAGTAGCCTCGTCACCAGTGTCTGCAACACGAACCAAACGGGTACAATTTGTGTGCATATCTTCTAGGTGTGAACAGACAGAAGACGATGAAACAACCCAAAACATAGTAATGCTTAAGCCCGATATGCATCACGATTGTGCCTTTAGCTTTTACGGCACCCTAGTCGGGGGGTGACATTTGGTTCAAGCGGAACACGCGGAATTAGAAACATTTTGTTACAGTTTAGACACACCTTTCACGATAAGACATGTTCACCTCATCTTACGGCCCCATATATAGACTTTATCATTTCTCTCGGGCCTTCTAGGCTCGAATCCTTTTGAAATTAAACATGCAAAACTCTGGGTTAGAATACAAACTTGAGAAAAGTCACACAGTGCAAAATTCAGTGCCTGGGGCGCCTATTTACTGATTTTAGTTCTTCATTCTTACCCACCGTATTAAGTCTCCAGCATTTTGAGAATTATGCTATTTTATTATAGACATTAATAATCTTTGTTCGTTTTCTTGGCAAAGTCGAGACTCTTTGCTTAAGAGCTTCAAATGATTTTAAATTAACTAAGTTTATTCCTTCGGATTCCGCAAGGTAATATTTCTCATTTATCCTTTTTGTTTAAGCCTATTTAGCATTTAGTTTTTTTGTTGGAAGAATAAAATACATCATTTCTTAGGCTTGGTTTACTTTATTTCTCTACTTTACGATATATAAAGCCGGCCGACTTTTGCCTCTTTTGTTGCGGCATCTTTGTGTTTTATTGCTTAAAGTCTTTAACTATCTATCCACTCAAACTTTGTGCTGGTGCTGTAGCCAGCCTTGTCAGTAGGGGTACCCACGAGGAGATAAACAATAACTACACGGCCAACGAACTGATCCTTTAAATGCATATATGCACACTAATATGAAAAATTTATTAAGAGCTTTTCTTTAGCGGCATCCAAGTTGTTAAACTAGAATCGAGCTAAATACTGACATTGGTGCGTCGCTCAAGCCCCTTTTGTTCGTTGAATCTGACCACCATTCTAGCTACACTTTTGACGCAACGAAGATAGTAGCAGGTAGGTTCTCCGATATTTGCAGGTAAATATGAGAAATATGAATAAAATGATCATTCCAATTCTTAAAAGAAAGAAGGAGATGTACCAATTTTAGTTCTTTTATGGTGATAGGCCTAATTATAAATTATAAATTATAAACAAGCATTTTGGGTAAGCTACTAGATCTTTCAGTCTGTGTAGCGAATTAACATATCGTTATTCAAATATTTTTTGATTGGTGTATTTATCGGCCAATTTGTCGCATTCTTTAGGAATCTGAATTCAGAAAAAATACGATTTTTCATATTTTCTTATAAGTACTTCATTATCAATTCAGGATAGAGCTTGTTAATCTCCTCTTTTACTTGTTACTTGCATTTTGAGCTTGATTTTCAATCTTTCAATGTGACAGTTTTCATCTTCTTCCGGCGCCAACAAAACTTTGTAGGGATTTTAGGCCAGAAGCACATATTCTATATCGCAGCACTCAGGCACGTTTAGTCGAACGGTACCATGTTCGTCTCCGGATTGACATTTACTATGTTAGGATTCCTTCTTTAAGGTTCATGCATCATAGGCGATGCCGAAACTAAAATACTCAGATAAGAGGGAACTTTAAATATGTATGGAAACTCAACGGCAGAAAATGTATAAAGACAAAATAGCATATATTTTTACTCGGCTGCATCGAATGCTATTAGTCTTATCATTGTTATAAGTATTTATCACCATTTTTATTTGCCCTATATCGTTTTTCCATACTTCAAATTTCGCTGCGTGCTAATTTAAGGCTTGAAGAAAACTTTTTGAATGCTGTACTCATGAATCTTTGACAGATTATCCGATTTGCATGGTTAATTGTGAATTTAAGTAGACGACAAGCCTCACTTATACTCTGCATTGCTTGAGGCCACCATAATAAATGCTTATTCTGGGTTCACCGTCACACTTTCTTTAAACTTAATCGGGGGAAACTTTTATTTTTATCATTGTAGCGCTATGAGAACTATCGATGGATCTTATGCTTAATGATGGCCAAGTAGAAATGCCCCATTAACTTCTTATGCAGACATGGCCGGTTTGCATGTTGTGAATTGAAAAAGTAGTTCGCTTTTTGCTTCTGGATTTCACCATGCCATTACCCTAAAAGGGGACTTTTCTCCACTAAGACTTCAGTTTTGATCCCGTTCAGGCCTGATCACCATCGCCGCCATAAAAGTCGCAGGATCAGTGGACGACGCATTATCCTCCTATCGTATGCGTTCGAATCCTGTAGGAAGCCAAGCCTAAACCTGGACATGTCCAATAGTTTAGTCCACTCTGAATAAGATTTTGCTTCAACTAATATGACTCAGTGTAATTAAGGGTATAGGCAATCTTCCTCTTCAATTATTCAGTGACGGTTTAATTACCATTGGAAAGAGCACAATGATGTGCCCCCCCTATAATTTCTATACTTATAGTAATCGCAATTAATGCTATCATACTTGCCGATCACCCTGTTGGTAATTCTTTTTTTTGAACGATGGGAAATTCATTAAAAAGTAAAGCCTTTACTAATTGTTGGACACATTTTGAAAAGAGTTATTTTACTTTTTTGACTTCTGATATGTAAAATGACCAGAGGTCCTACTCGATAAAAATCTGACAGCAACAAATTTATCTGCATATAATATAATGCAGCTGCATAATATGGTACGCTAAGTATGATGCTAACAATGAACCAATAATATACAGATTTAAATACATCAGTAATGCATGTATCATCAATTCATTGGCACTCACTGGCATCAAACCTTCATGTCAAATTTAGGCCTCTCTCCTGTCCTTCAGGAGGGGATAGACATGGTTCTATGAGCCTCTTTTACATCACCAATTTGTCTATCACACTCATGATCTAAGTTCTTAGCCCCGCACAATATTGAATCACTACTTATTCCATAACTTCTCTGCCTTTATGGCCTTATAAAATTGGAAGCTATCGACTGGTATAAAATTGGTTATTTCACTATTCTACTCTCATGACAAAGTAAACGAGCTGTCTAGATCTTACCCCAAAAAATCAATTACTATTAGAAAATATATCCAACGTCAGGTTTTTG